CTCTGTGCGTGGTGCAGCACCTCCAGGAAGCCAGTTCACCCAGGAGCTCCGCAGGAGGCCAGAGGAAGCCAATGCCCACCCTGCACCGGGAGGGGGTTGGGGGGGGAGGGTGCATATGGCTCACTCTTCATGACATTCCAGGGCTCTTTCCAATACAAAGAGCAACATGAACCAAGGGGATAGTGGGGAACAGAGCACACGTGCAGAAGCATGTTGACAGACGTCCAGACTTTAATCTCGGCACGGGCTGCGGTCACTCAACAGCAGCGCAGGGCCCGGCACGATATTTACACAGTCGGAGCAGGCCATGTTCTTCTTCAAAGGATGAGGAAACTGAAGGAGGCCTGGGCTTCCCTCTCTTGTCCCGTACCATGTCCCCTCCTTTCTCCGCACACGGCTCCATCACCTTTCTACCTAACACTGTGTGACAGTTATACCTGTCTCTAACGTCTTCTATTATCGTCAATTTTTTTCTGCAGTTCAAGATAGATTCAAGTAACACTCCCAAGAAAATATGTGCAAAACTAACGTAAGTGGCTCCAGGATCTTCCGGCAGCTGGTCCGTCACACAGGTGTCTCTGCCGCGTGGCACAAGCCGTGGCTGGGGCTGGGATGCACCTGCTCCCCAGGAACGTCTGCTCTGGAGAAGCATCAGCCGCCACTGGGACCCATGTGGAAAGAACCCAAAGCCACTCCACTTTACTTGAGTTCTGGAATAACTGCAAATAACCACATAATTGCTTTTAAATAGGCAACAAGACAAAGTTACCACCCTCACCTGCCTGTACACCCTGCAGAGCATGCTACTCCTCAAGCCAGAGCACGATGGCAGGTACAGACATCACACCACCACAAAGAAAGTCTCGGCCCTGTGCAGCATCTCAGGAGAGACCCGCTCAGAGGGACAGATGGGCTAACTGTACCAAAATCTGCTTTTATTAAGTGAACAGACCACCAGCCCCTACCCAGCGTCACTGGCACAGCCCCTGCTGGCCCAGCACCACCTCACAGCAGGCCAACACCAGCCAGCAGTACCCGGCCATCCGCACGGCCGCCTGTCGCAGTCGCCATCTCCACGCCTGTAAAGGGGTGCCGCAGAGACTGACTGCTGCTTTCAGTGCCTTTAGTGGACTGGGAACCTCAGTAAGCTTCTCTGAGCAGCAAGGAACAAGGACTTGTTCAGACATCTCAGGACTGGATGTAGAGGTTGGCAGTAGAACAATCAATAAATAGACAACTTCTCAAATAAAGACTCCACACGAGCTCCTCTCAGGAAGACATTCACACACCTGACTGCAGAGCACGCCTGTGCTGGCCAACTGGAGGGCAGCAGGCAGCGTGTGGAGGGGCAAGTGAGGGGGACGCACACTGGAGACCTCGCCGCACGACGTCCCCATCTGAGGGCCGCGTTGGTCAGCAGGGACCACAGCAGCTGCCACTGAAAACAGGGCACATACGCCCCCCTCTGGCCCTCCCGGCATGCCCTGTGCGTGCAAGGAGGCAAGAGAGGGCTTCCTGTTGTGGTCTAAACACCTCTGAAAAAAGGTCAGTGTCTCTGCACGCTTCGTACCCCAGTAGACGGAACAGTAACTACGGATCCCGTCGGCACGTCCTCAGACCCCGGGCTTCACTGGGGTCACTTACGAGTCTGGTTCTTCTTTGGCACTGCGGGCCGCTTGGGCTGCCACAAGTGGTTATGGATGGTAAGTGCGTCCACGCTGACGGACATGGTCTTGGCTGGGATCAGGTTGAACTGTTTGCGGTCCGAGCTGTATTTGTATAGCTTGTCGATCATCTTCTTGGTGATGCTCCTGGGCCCCGTGCCGGTGAGCTTGCAGATCTCCTCGGTGTCGGGGTAGTAGCAGTACAGTGCCCTGAACTGGCAGCCGGCGTCACGGAACAGAATGATATAGTGGTTGGCGTCACACTTCTCCAGCTCCTGCCGTGAGAGGAAAGGAGAGGCACTGAGCACGGCTGGCTGCAGCACCAGGCCCAGGCGGCCCTCAGCCCTGCGAGGGCAGCCCAGCCACGCCACACCCGGGGCCAGGAGGCCTCACCCGGGGCCAGGCTGCCTGTGTGGAGTCATACTTGTCCACCCAGTGGAGACCCCACTGAGGAAGTCCAGGTGAGCAAGGAGAAGGGCTTCCAGGACAGAGGGACGACCAGCCCAGATGACCTTGGCAGTGCGGCCAGAGGGAAATGCCCTCCAAACCCAGTGTGTCACCTTGCACGGAGGATGGCTGGGGGAGAGGTAGGGGGCGTGCAGGGCACACTTGCTGCTGGGAGGAACAGCATGGCAAAGCCACCGTGGAAGAGGCCACCCTCGGACAGTGCTCCACCCCATCACACACAAGAGGAACAAGAACAGGCCCATGTAGAGAGCCGTGTGTAAATGTCCACACGCACTGTCCACCAGAGCAGAGGCAGAAGCCACATAAACTTGCAACGCCGATGGACAAACGTGGTCCCCCCACAGATGCAGTGTTTCTCAGTCATGGAAAGAAATACTGTTCTGAACAGCCCACAGTACCGGCACACCTCAAACCCACGCGCTGCTGGACACAGGGACCCAGGAGGCCAAGGCAGGAGGGCAGCAAGGTCAAGGCCAGCCTGGGCAACTTAGTGAGGCCTGGTGTCAAAATGAAAAACAAAAAGGGATGGGGATGTGGCTCAGTGGCAGAGCACTTGCCTGGCACACATGAGGCCCTGGGTTCAATTCTCAGTACTGTAAAAAATAACTAAATAAGAATGAACTACCACCCCAAAGTGTGCAAGGGGAAAGCAGCTAGACCCGAAGTTTTCCAGAACAGGCAAACTGTGAGACAGGGCGCCAATTGGCGGCTGTGCTGGCCTATGAGTAAAAACCACTGGATCATACTCCACTGCACTGGGCAGGAGCCTGGCCTTGAGCCAGCCTCTACCACCAGGCCACACCCGTGCCCTGTTTAAACATTCCTCATTTTGAGACAGAATCTTGCTACAATGCCAGAGCTGACCTCAAATTTGCAATCCTCCCGCTTTGGCCTCCCGAGCTGCTGAGGTCACAGGTGTGGTCGCTGCACCCAGTGGAGGACACACTTTAAAAGGTGGATTACACACCCTGTGCACACCAACTGAATCTCAGTGAAGCTGTGACTGAGAAAAAGATCCCAAGGCAAACGCAACAGACCGCAGGGGCCTGCTGGGTGCTCATTATGGCCTTCTGAGTTCAGACAAGTGGTCAGGGCTTGACAACCTTTGAAATAGGACCTCTTCCTGCTGAGCCACGAGCATGCCTACTGTTCAGCAGCTCCCAAGGCGTGGCCCAGGGCCTCTGAGCCCTCCTGGCAGCTCCCTGGTACACCTGCTGCCCACTCGCTCCTGTGTGTTACAGTGGTGGCTGCCCAACGTCACATGACATGTGCGGGTGCAACAGCTTGAGAGAAGAGGAGCTGAGATTCCTGCTCTGCATACGGGTGAACGTGTAAAGCAACGCTTCACTGACTTGTTATTATGTCTACCTATTTTGCTTTAGGAAATGTATTTTCTAAATCTATGGGGTCTCAGTCAACATATAACATGTTTACTAAATAAATTCACAAACGTTCTTAGAATGTTCTTAGAAAAAGCAAAATCTAAATCTATGTACAATAACTGATTTCAACTGCACAACCTCTGAGTTTCAACAGGAACAGAGTTGGATGCCAAAAGGCAGGCCAGGAGGGGGACTGTGGCCCTGTGCAGGGCAGTGAGACCCCGCAGCAGCCCTCAGCGGCTCCTGACACTGGCTGGAGGGGGCTTCCAATCCTAAGCAGCAGGTCTTCATGCTGGCTCTGCCTCCCTTTTGGAGTCTGAGGCTCTGTTGTGTTCAAGGCAGAGGGGGCGCCTTATGTCCTTATGGACAGAAGCTCTCTGCCCTGCCGGACACACAACCCTCAGGCACTACAACTGTACTTCAAGGAGGTGGGCGTCCCGCGTGCCCTGGGCAGGCAGGCCTGGCACACCAGCTGCACTCGGAGGCTGGGACCCTGTCCGTGTCTTCCCCCACCCCAGGCTGCGACGGGAGCTGAGGCACCAGTACCCTACTGGAGCATCTCTGAATTTGGAGTGCCTCTTTTGCATGGAAACAGGCTCAGGGAGAAATGCCTCGGTCACAGGCCGCTTGTCTCCACTCCCACGAGAAAGGCTTGAAGGGGCAGGGGGTGGCATGCGCCAGCTCAGATGATCTGCTATTAAGAAAGGAGCCTCCCTCCTGGGCTCACCAACCCACACCCCCTCGTGATACTGAAGCGCCCAGTTCTGAGGGCGGGCGGGCAGCTTGCAAAGGCTTCTTTCGGAAGCCCTTGTTCCACAAGGTCAGTCACCAACAACCGTCACAAATGCGCCTGAGGTGCGGGGCAGGGGTTCTTGGTACCCGCGTCTTCCTGGAATTCCACTCCCGCCATCTGAGGAGCCATTCGGAGCTCATCCTGAGCTTCAGGGATCTGTTCCCAAACACCCACTGGGCACACAGCTGGACGCAGGGAGGCCTTCCAGGCAGCCCAGTCAAGGTAGCACCCACCTTCCTGGGCCCCAAGCTCTCAGCTAAGACCTAGGGCCTCTCTCTCAACCACCAGGCACTGCGGCTGACCCAGGAACTCCCAGCACCCCACCCTGAGGCGGCCTGCTTCTTATTTTTCCTCAAGTCCTTATCAGTTTCTGACCTACAGCCCTCAAGCCACCTGGGGCTGCCCTGGCTTTGTCAATCAGCCTGGTGGGGACCAGGCACAGCCACTTGCCCACACATGGCCTGTGACGGTGTTTGTTGCAGAATAGGCAGTGTGGCCAGAGTCACCACAGGACCCCTCCTCAGGCAGCACCTCACCTGATGCACCTGTCTCACAGGCCACTGCTGTCACTGCTCAGGGTGCAGCCTGAGCCAAGAACAGCACTGGGCAGGGCCGGCCCATCCTAGCACACCTCCCGCTTCCTCCACCCCAACGGAAAGCTCCCCACTGCGAAGCACCAGCCACATCCTAACTAGACCTCTACTTCCACTTGGGAAGGCCACCATCACCTCCTATGAGATGATGGAAGCCATACTCAGGAGGCTGAGGCAGAAGGATTACAAATTTGAGGCCAGCCTCAGTAACTCAGTGAAACTCTCAGCAACTTAGACCCCGTCTCAAAATAAAAAAGGATGAGAGGAGTAGCACAAGTGGTAGAGTATCCTTGGGCTCAATACCTACAACCAAAAAATAAATAATAAAAGAACCAAAGCCAGACCCACTCTAGCTGCAGACTCTAGGAGGTGTGTCAACATGGCAACAGCGACCAGCACTTTACCAGAACCAACTCTCTAGTTCTCAGGGTCCCGACCACAACCTGGGCTCACAAAGCTACATGCCCGCCCTCCCTGGCTGCCCCATAACCCACAAACAGCTCACAGCCACCGTGCGGCTGGCGTTTACCTCCAATATGGAGTTCTTATGAGGCTCGTTCACCTTCCCGGCCAGACAGCAATGGGAAATGGCGTTATGGATGATGGGCTTGTTGGACTTGCTACTGGGCTCCTTGAAGAGCTTGGGACCTAAGAAACCAGACCAAGATTTGCAAAATTGAAATTCTGAGGCACAAAAACACGGAAAAGAGCAGCAGCATCGTGGACATGTACGCATTTCAGAAAACGGGCAGTGAGGACTGCTTCAAATCGATTTGAAAAGTCCCATTTGTGAGTTTGAAATGGTAGGTGAAAGGTTAAAATGATTAATACCTATCCACTTTCTAACTTTGGGTTTGTTACTATAAAAATGACAAGCTCAGGAGGTAATTTGAAGGCCTAAGGCCCCAGGTGCCAGGCTGTGTGGTACTTGCCCTGAGCACCACTCTGAAGGCGGCTAGAGCCAGCACTATGCCACTGCAGGGCAGGCCACGGGAGCTGGGCCAGGGGCTTCCCTAGTCCACGGTGCACTTCAAAGACACCGAGAGCCACACAGCTGTTACTCAGTAACAGGAAAACACCCTCAGACACAGGAAGACTGGTATTCTATAGAATGCCAAGCCAAAGCCATGTGGCTGCATGCACAGTGACCTCAAGGTATGTGACCATCACCTGTGTACTCGGCCACTGAGGCCAGGGAGGAAGCTGCCGACGCCGTTTCCCAGTCCCGGTCTGTGCTCCTGCTTGGGTTGCGGCTCAGAATGGGCAAGGCTTCCAAGGACTCCACTCTGCAGGCAGAAAAGCACACAGGGTGAGGCCAGCAGAGCTTCGGCCTCCCTCCTCCCACCCACACCCAGCATGTGGCCACTGCACCTGTCAGCCCACACCGCCATCCGCATCGTCAGGGTATGGGCACCCTGTAGCAGCGGACTTCTGGGGAAGGTGGGGGTGGGTAAGCACACTGCCACCCCACACGCGCTCGGGCAAAGAGACACAGCAAATACTTGGGATGGCCCCTCTGCAGGAGGAAGTGTGCCTTCACGCTTAGCCTGGGGCTGCTGTCCACTGAAGCAGGGTGCAAGGGCTGCTGCTGGCCCAGGCCCTCTGTACTGCTGTCAGCCAGGGATGCAACCCAGGAAGGAAGCCCACTGGGCCCAGTCTGAAAGCCCTGTGTCAGTGACTCTGCTTCCTGGCAGATCTGAGCTATGCTTGCAGAAGTGTCCCGACCAAACATGGCAGGTGCCAAGGCCAGAGCTGGACAGAGCTCTGAGACATGAGGCTTCTGCTCTCCAAAGGGCACCAGAGAGGGCTGGGGTGGAGTCTAGCTGGGCAGCTGACCATCAGAAGAAACCTCCAGGCAGGACCTGGGGCCCATCAGAGGAACCCTCCACAAAGCCAGGAGACACAGCAGGCACACATATGAACACAGGAACACCACAGGTCACCCCTGTGGCTCACGGGACCCGGCTGCCCTGCCAGGCATGGAGGGGGCGCCAGGAGAGGAGGGAGGGCCCTGGCTCTACAGGAAGCAGCACCACATGGGAGGGAGCGAGGGAGGCTCCAAGGCTGGGCAGACACGTTCAGCGATGTCTAGGTGGGCCTCATGTTGCCTGGACAATCCCTCTAATCACAAAGGGGAGATGTTAACTGCCAGTGGGAAAACAGCTGACACCACTTTAATGATCCAAGTAAACTGACGAGATCAGGACCCGCCCGGCCTGCTGCTGGAGGAAGGCCTCACACGAGCTGTTCCATCCCAGAGTGGGCGCTTGTGACCCATCTGCCACGGGAAGCAGATGGGAGCATAACTGCTCAGAGTCTCAGAACATCATGGCCAGAAAAGGTGAAGGAACTGTCCCAGGTTAAAGGACACTGAAGAGCGATGGCATCGGTACAGAGGCAGACTGGGCCCACTGATGACAACTGGATGCAGCCCGTGGGTCAGTTAAGTGCTGGCTTGACAACTACATGTGGCAGAAAGACATCCGGTCCTGGCAACCAGTCAAGCTTGCCGAGACACAGGGTGCCGCCCTGGCTCACTCCTGGAACACTGGAGAACGTGGACACACACGTGGGCTGGGGACAAGGCAGGCCAACGCTGAGTCACAGAGCAGACAGCTGTGCCAGGCAGGCGTGGCTCCTCCACCACAGCCACTTTGCTGTGAACTTGGAATTCTACCAGATCAAAGCGACAAAGCCACTCTCACCCATTTTCCACCCAGAAGCTCCACTCTCCCAGCTCCTTACCGCTGCGAAGGTGTGCCCCCCGAGTGAATGCTCTCGGGCTCCGTGGTCGCTGCAGAGGCCAAGGACAGGCTGGAGCCGGAATGAGTCTGGCTCAGGTTATCCGCTGCAGAGACGAAGCACAGGGCAATGTGCAGGAGCGACCACAGGCTGGGAATGCCTGGCTGCCTCCACACTGATGGATGCGCTCCAAGCCAAGCACAGTTGCAGGTGGCAGATGGCAGAGGCTACTTACGGGTGGAGGAGCACTTGGTCCCAGAGTCACTGCAAGACTCTTCCCGGTGCACGGATTTTGGGCGCGGCTTTTTTGGCTTTGACCTGGGTTTGCCGAGCCCTTGCTCCTCTAGGATTTGCTGCTGCTTCCTCCGCAAGTACTCCTGCTTAATGAGCTCTCGCCGTGCCTTCTCCTCCTCCTTCCGGATGCGGTCCTCCTCAGCTTTACGCCTGAGAGCCAAGGTGGTTCCCCACAGAACTGAGTGACAGGGGTCCCAAACCACGCCCCTCCTGGACCTGCCTCCCACACAGGGGACCCAGGCTCTGTGGCTGGGCATCTCTAGGGCCCCTGGAGCTGAGAAAGCCAGCTTCCACAGGGGGCATAGTGGTCAAAAGGTGGGCCCTAGACCAAGCCTCTGTTGTGAAACCGCAGCCCCACCAGAGCGCTGGGCCATGGGCAACTTATTTGCTGCACCACATGCTAGTGGCCTCAACATTAAAATGGGATGAGCACACAGCTATGGGGCTGTGATACGACTGAAGACCATCCGGGAGAGAGCCTGGCACAGTCCCTCACAGACCTGCAGCAGGGCCAGTGCCTTGAGCAGGGACAGCACAGAGAGCAGTGAGGCGGCTTCAGGGCACTACTAAGACTGGGGCTTGCCAGCCCTGATCATCCCTCTGGCTCATGGGACCCAAACTGCCCTGCCAGGCACGGAGGGGGCACCAGGAGAGGAGGTTACCGGGCTTCATCCCGCTTGAGCTCCACCTCCGCCTCCAGCTGCTGTTTCCGCACGCGAGCCTCCTCGGCCTTGCGCTGCTGTTTCAAGAGGAAGGCCGCCCGCTTCTTGGCAAGTTCATCTTCTGCTTTCTGTTCGTCCTGCATAGGCGTCGTCTAGTGGTCAGTGACAGTACAGGAAACACCCGGAACTGCCTGGCCCAGGCGCACCTCAACACATAGTTTTTTATTTTATACTGGAGATTTAACCTGGAGGTGCTCTACCACTGAGCCACATCCCAAGGCTCCCACATCCTGCAGCATTTGTTTTTTTTTTTAAATTTTGAGATAGGTTTTCACTAACTTACTAAGGGCCTCAATGAGTTGCTGAGGCTGGCCTTGAACCTGTAATCCTCCTGTCTTAGCCTCCCGAGCCCCTGGGATTACAGGCGTGAGCCACACCTGGCAACCCAGCAGATTTTAATATACACTTAAAAAATTTTAACATTGCCATAAAACTTTTACTTTTGAACTAAGAAATAAATGTCCTTTATAGATTACTGACACAACTAAAAACAAAAAATGCTGTTCAACAGGAAGTCACAATTGGCCACCTTTCCAAATGCCTTGTACATCTAGCCTTGAAAACTATTAGTAAATTTCCAAACTGAGCTAACACCCAAATTAACTGTGTTTTCATTTTAAAAGCACAAACACCAAATAAAGTGTGTGTCTGGTGCTGCCCGAGGACTGCACTGTCTGGTCTCAGGAAAAGTAGCCCCAGCGTGTCTCTCCTCACCCCTGGGAAGATGCTGCAGAGCAGATGGAGGTAATGGGCATGCTGCAGAGCCTCTCTGCTGCCCAGGTGCTGCCCAGCCAGGGTGGGCAACCCAGCCTGTGGCTGCCAACCATTTCTCCAACTGTTAAAAATAGCTGAAAAAACATACTTTGTGATACACGAGAGTCAAATCAGGTTCACAGAAAGTCTCTGCATGCAGCCCTGCTCATCTGCGAGCGTCTCCGTGGCTGTTTTCAGAGCCATGAGCCCACGGAGCCCACAAGCTCCCCCCAGGGCTCTTGATGCACCTGCCTGGAGCCTTGATTCTTGCAACACAGCACAAGGGCCACCAACTCACCTTAAAGAAGAAGCCAAGCCCAGGCTTCTGGTCACTGTCGCTGAGGAGGTCCACAGAGCCCGTGTGGCCAGCCCCCTCTCCGTCCTCATCGGGGGCCTGTAGGTGGGACAGGTCCACCTCGATGAGGCTGGCCTTGCTCCTCAGTGGCTCTTCCCCAGGAACGTGGTCGCTCCCTGTGGGGTCGGAGGAGCGCAGCCCTGCCTCTTTCCCGCTCATGTCCACGGCTTCTGTGAAGTTCATCTGTTCTGACAGAACATTTGCCTCTTTGCAGGAGGACAGAGCTAATGTCCGCTGGTTGCTTTCATCATGAAGCCTGTAACTGTCCAAGAGACACTTCTCAGGAGGGTTGCTACCAGGGGCTGCAGCACTATCCACACCCAGGTCGGGAGGTGTCCGTGGGTGATCACCAGAGGGGAAAGGTCGCAGATGTGGGAGGGTCTCCACGCTGGGTGTTGGGGTCTTGCTCCGAGAAGAGCCCTGCTGCCTATCCTTTGGAACCTTCAGCTCAGCTGGTCTTCCTGAACGGGAGCTCCGGCTCTGGCCCAGACGGGGGGGTTTGCGGTGACCAGACACCCCAGTCGGAGAAAGCGGCTCAACAAAGTGGATTGAGGTCTTTACTTTTTGGTCCTGAGAGTTATTTTTAGGGCCTGGCGTTGGTACCGTGGGGGACTTCATGAGGAGCTGCTCCTGCTGCTGGGAGATCTTCAGAATGGCCTGTTGCAGTGTGCTGATGGTCTCGTTCAGCTTCTCGATGGAAAGGTCGCATTCACTCAGGTCTCCCACCTCGCCAATGCTGTCCTCCAGGAGAGCAGCAGAAAGCGCTCTGCCCTTCTCCCCGTCATGCACAGCCGTCAGGTCTTTGGGCTTATGAAGCTGGACAAAAGCCAGGCTTTCTCTGTCTATGTCCTGAGACTCACTGAGATCTTCCCTCTGCTCTTCCTTGGCGAGGAAGGCTTCTGACTTAGAAATGCCACTGTCAAAGTCCTCGCCATTGTGCTGAGCGTACTCCTTTGCAAAATGCTCTGGCCTCAGTGGCTGAGGGGCACCATCAGCCTTCCCCTTCTTTACCACGTGCAGGAAGGCGGCCTTGCCCAGCTTCAGGCGCTGCCGCGCAGACAGGGCCTCCATCCTCTTCTTCTGGGTCTCTATGGCCCTGCGCTTCTCCTCCAGCTGCATGTGCAGCTGCACCAGTTCAGACGCCAGGAGGCTGGCAGGGTCCCGGCTGTGCCTGCCTGGGCTCTGCTCTCTCTTCTGCCTCCACGTCGTCAGAGGAGCTGGGCAGCTTTCCGATGCGTCCGGTGTGGTCTTCTGGGAGCTGCTAGTACTGGACTTGGTTTCACAGCTGTTGAGTCTCTGGAGCTTCCTCTCAGCAAAGCTGGTCATCTTCACGCTTCCGCTGGCCATGGATACGCTGCTGAGCTGAGAGGCAGTGCTCAGACATGGGCTCGAGCGGCCACTAGCATCATCTTTGTCCTCATGCTCCTTCACCTTCATGTCCTCCTGCAACTTGGCTGACTCCTCTTCACCGGCATACCTGGCAATTACCACGGCAGGGTCCTCGCCAATGAAATCCTGTTCCACTTCCTCTAGGTCACCCACGTCAGAGTCAGAATCTGGCCTCAGGACAGCCCAGGGCTCCTCATCAGGGGTGCCAGGGCTTCTTGGGCCAACACATAACCTCCCCTCTGTGTCTCCATCAGCCCTGCCTAGGTGAAGGAAAAAGCCATCGGCAGACTGTCCCTGAGACAACGGATCCAATCCGCCAATGGCCAGAGGGCCCCCATGCACTTCTGTAGCTTCTGCAGACCGCAGTCCCCGCTCTGCAGGGTCAGTGCTAGCAGCAAGCTCTGAGCACGGAATTGGGGTGAAAGTGCTATTCAAGTCACGACGGCCGGTCGCCTTCTTCCGGGCAGCAGGTTGAGGGCCCTCACTGGGCCTCCTGGGCACAATGCTCCGAGGTCTCCCTTCCCCTCGCTCATCCTCCTTGGTGGTGGTCTGCTTCTCTTTTGCCGGCCTCAGCACTGCTGGCAGCAGGGGCTCCAAGAAAAAGCTGTCAGGCTTATTCTCTAGGGCATCCACCTGCCTTTGGGGAGACCTGGCACCTGCTACCAGGCCTGGGGGCCGCGGCGAGGCCCTGGGGCCTTGCGGGTCCACACAGTGGGGAGACACATCTGTCCTGATAATGGCCACCAGCTCCTCATCCTCATCCTCAATACTAACATTGCTCAGGAGGCTCCTCCCATTGGTCTTCCCAGCTATGGGGCAGGGCTGGTTCTGTGGGGTCAGATGAACAATGCTGGATGCCAAGCTGTCCTTGCTGATAGAGCGTGCCAGGCTGACGCTGTCACCAGAGCCAAGGTCCACGTCACAGCTCGCAGCATGGTGGAGAGCAAAGGGTGTTGGCTGGGATACTGGCCTGAAACGCAGAGGAGAAGCCCATTGGACATGCCATCACATACCCCCGAGACCATGTGACAGTCTGGGGCAGAACTCTAGTTATGAAAAGAATACAAACCTCAAGTATAGGGCACCTAAGTAAACCCCTCCCCGGAGAACGGAGAACCAGAAACAACTGTAGCTTAGTGATTCTGAAACCTTTTGGTCCCAGACCCCTTTAATAATCATTAAAAATTACTGAAGACTCCTAAGAGCTTTTATTATACTTGTCACTATGACTCTGTTCATCATAGTAGAAATTAAAACTCCAGTATGCTCCAAATGCTGATGAGCAGTCACTACTATGACTATGACAAGCCTATCACAAGCTTATGACATGAAAATTCCCTGTTATCTTATCAGTGACATGATTTGATCTTGGAAGATTTGCTGGCTGGAAGGACCCTCACACCTGACTGTCGTGGCACCACGTTACATGGCCACCGGGAACATCCACATGCACCCCATGAGAGAACAAGACAAAAAGGGCGGTCAGCACCTGGCACCACTATGGAGATGTCTGGGCCTGTGAGCTCTCTGCAAGAGTCCTGGAGGCCCTTCAGGGGCCTGGAAGCATTTGGAGAACTGCAGCTTCAGTCCCATAAACACCCCAAATAGAAATGTATCATTTCAAAGTGATTCACCTGGCTTTTTTTTCTGGCCACGCTACTGCCGTACCTCGTGGCTGGCCATCGACTCGGGTTAAAGAGTTAGATCGATGTCGCTGGTCTGCGTTCGGAGGAAACAAGCAAGTTCAGCATCAGTGACTAACTGTGCACCAGTGGAAGTTCTTTCAATCAGTTGCCACTTCTCCAGGAAATGACACCTAACTCACAGGCCAGAGCTGCTCAAGCAAGCAGACCATCGAACAGTGCCACTTTCAACAGTCCCACTGATGAGTCATGTATGACTGAGGAGCAACCAGCCCAAAGCACAGACAAAGACAACACTGGGTAACTGTCAATAGCTCCTGCTTAGGCACAGCACACCAATTCAGTGGGTGCCACATGGGATTTATTAGATTATTGGCACTGTAACTACAGGATGATAAATTCTAAGACATATCAATACAAATTAAAACTTGTTCTGCCAACATTAACTAAAATTACTACACCAGAATTAGATGATTCAGTTTCGAGGAACATTATTTTACTCAACAGTAGCAAGAAGAGGTGGCGAAGGGGCTGTGGAGGGGACTGTGCTCTCACCAGGGCTGTCCTCTGCCTGCACTGCTTTCTGCTGCTTCTGCCTCAGTGGCAATAAAGGATGGGAGGGGCTAAAGGCAGAAGTTCCTTTCCCACTAAATGGAAAAAGAATTTGAGAAAAAAAAAAAATCACTAGTTAATCAAACTTCAAGTTCCAAATCAAATGCACATAAAATAACAGACCATTATGAATTCATGTTAAGGAGTGAACAACTTAAAAGTTCTCTGGCAAAAATTAATTTCTATAAAATTGAACCAAGAAAGAATACCAAGAACTTCAAACTTGAGATAAAAATCCACAGCTACAGACAGGGATGTGGTACTTTTGGTTACAGTGTGTAACACAGCCAGTTCCCAAGCCCCCAGCAACACTCAAGCACACAGCCAGGTGATCTTTCAAGACAAGCAAAAAAGAGAAAAAGCAATTGCCTGAAAAAGATGACTTTCAAAACTGCACATTCTTGGTTCAGTGAAAGACCACAAAGATGACCGCACCATATCCAGCTAACTCTAACTCAGGTGGCTCTGAATGACCTGAACGGGATGGGATCCCCCACCCAGAGAAGCAGGGGTGCTGTCCAGTCCTGGTGGCTGAGGATGTGTGAGCCATGTCCACCAGGAGCTCCAGAGCTGCCCGCAGCACTTCCACTTCTGCCTTACAGTCCAGAAAGGCGAGGGGCGGTGAGGGGCAGCGAGAGGTGCGGGTATAGCTGTGCTGTGAGGTGTGCCCCTGAAGAGCCCCGCAGGTACAGGAAGGGCACTGGTCAGTGGGCACGGCTCCCAGCAGTCGGAACACTGGCCTCACAGGGCAGCTACTCTGGCTATTTCACTCAGGAGAACTTGGACAAGGGAGAAGTGACAAAGGTAAAAGCAGACTGAGTCCCCTGGCCACAGCTAAGAAGCCTACAGACACAAAGGCAGGGGGTCATCCAGGGTCAGAATAGAGAAACACAATGGGGCGGGGGTGATAGAGAGGCAGGAGAGAGCAGGAGGGAGGGAGAGAGAGGACAACGGGATCGGGTAGGAGAGAGTTAAGGAGCAGTGTGGCTGCCAGCAGAATGGCTGGGGGTGCAGGGGTCCCTGAGGAACTGGGCAGGCAGGGGAACACCTGCCCAGGGCTGCTCACAGCTCCTATGGCTATTAGCCACCAGCCCAGTTGCAAAGAGAAACACAGTTATTAGAGTGTGCTACAGGAGAGATCTCAATGATCAAAAACCTCAGGGTGCACAGGGAGATAGAAAGCAGGCCCACAGCGTGCACCCATGACACCCAGCACCCATGACATCTGTGTGCATACACACACTGCTAATGTGGGACTGGGATGTGGAGAGGCGCATGGAGAAAGGACACCCATGCCTCAGCACAGATGTCAGCCAGAGCGCTCCACCTATGCTCCAAGAGTCCGTCCCAGGCTTCACAGCTCCACACAGAACATGGCAAACCCCGCCCTGAAGAGCACCAGGGAACTGTCTTGGCCTCCAAGGACTCCTTCCTCCTAACTCAACTCCGCAGTCCAAGACAACAGAGGTCTTCATGCCACACAGCCCCACAGAATCACTCAGCAACAAGCTCTGCTCAAAAATCACTCTAAGTACTGCTGTACTCTTAAAGCCTAGCTCAATCTCCACGTTTAAAAACTACCTTCTGGGCTGGGGTGTAGCTGAGTGGTAGAGTGCTTGCTCAGCCTGAGGGAGGCCCTGGATTCCATCCCAGCACCACAGAGTAATAGTAACAGCAATAACAGACAATGACAGGTGTGTTAACATGTTCACACGCCAGGCAGACTCCCTCATCCTGCCCTGCAGCTGCCAATCTGCCCCAGATCCACTCAGTCCAGTCAGGTGCCGATGACCAAAAACACTTGAAACAGCTCTGTTTACTATCTCACCAGAGCCAAGTTAATTGCTTGCTGAAATTAAAAAAGCAAACTAATATTCTTCCTGGGTAGGTCTATCTCTGAGAAAACAATTCACAGTACTTGAGATGCAAAGAGGATTTCATTCTTTATATATTCTACACACACACACACACACACACACACACACACACATCCTATCAGACTCTGCAACAAAGCAAATTTAAAATGTCATTTAATTCTTCTACTCTTCAGTCCATGTTAAACTATGTGATTTACTGTGGACAGAGCTGGAGAAACACCTATGCTGTGGACAGCACCAGAACTGGAAGCACGGGCTTGAAAGAACTAGGCACCAGGGCCCGCAAGAGGCTGGCACCATTGCTGGCCTCTAGCCAGAGGGTCAGGGCAGGAGCACAGGCTGCCACGGCTACTCTTCTGTGCTTTATGTATGACCTATTAAAAAGATAACTTTAATTAAAACTTCGGGCGACGATAAAAAGGGAAACAAGGTAGTGAATTAATTCTGAAAGCACAGAGGTAGACTTACAGACACTCAGCTTCTTCGGGATGGAGGTGGTACCTATGTCCGCCTTCGGCTGGTGGCTGAGTAGGTGGCGGCAGGTCAGCGGGGCTCAGTGCAGCAGGGCTGCCCAGGAAGCTGCGCTTGGTTGCATTGGAGATGGGGACAGGAGGCCGGCTACTTTTCTGCTGTAATGCCGTTTTAGCTGCAAAAATAGCAATTTTACAGAAATATTCATATTATTCATGGTTACTTAGAACATAGCAAGAAGCACAGAAAACTACCTGCAGTTTTTTGTTGTTGTTCTTTTTAGATACACATGACAGTAGAGTGTATTTTGACATATTATATGTTCAGGGAGAATAGCTTACTCTAAGTAGGAGCTGGCCAACCCGTCTGCCCTTCACAGGGTTCTGGGTAGGCTATTTGAGCCTGGGCATGATGGTGCAGGTGGTCACTCACCATCTTTCAGCTCCTGAACATCCCTGGGCTGGACGAAGTCTGGCTTGACATTCTCGAACCACCAGAAAAGCTCAGCAATGAAGACCATGAGGTTTGGCTGAAGGGAAGAGGGGCACACCGTGAGCCCTCAAGAGCCCTGTGAGCACGGCACTCTCGACCTTGAGACAGGGAGGGGCCACCTCACCTTGAGCACCAGGGGCGCGTAGAGCATATCTTCCAGGGTGAGGTAGAAGCACTTGCTCAGGTGCTGGTTGGAGAACTCCCTCAGCAGCCGGATGTTGTACAGGCTGTCGGCCAGCGACGGCACCTCCTTCAGACAAATGTCTAGCAGACACAGAGAGGCAGTGTTAGCCTCTGCCCCGAGGGGGTGCACACAGGTGTGACTCTGAACAAAACCACCTTGTTAGTAAGCTTTATACACAACAATAGATACAGGAGGAAAATGCTCAAGGAAAAGCGATGAGATGGCTAACCCTACGCATCCCACAGAAACCCCGAGATTCCAAGGGTGGTCTTCCACTGCACTCTCCCCTTTGAGTATTTGAGTTTGCAAAAGAGCCTTGCTGCATGTGGTTAGAGAATAGCAGTTTCCTTTGGCAATGGAAACCCTGTGCACATGGTCATATCCAGATGGCAAGGTGTGGGCAGGGAAAAGCAGAAAATCCAAACTATTAGGGAAGGTCAGAGTCCCCAGACCAGAAGATTGCACAGCACACGTCTCTTCCATGAAACAGAGATGTTTGCTGTCACACTCAGGGGAGGCCAATGCAGGATGTCATGCCCTCGATCAGTAAATGCAGTACAGGCAAGGATTCCCTAGGCCACTGAAAAGGAGACTCTGAGACAGTGTCCCTTGTCAAGACTGTTCCTCGTCCGCCTCTGCTTTGCTATGAAAGTCATGTTAAAACAGAGGAAGTGCTGGGCTGGCTCTCAGAGGCAGGGCACATGCCCAGAGTGCACCAGGGCCTGGGCTTCATCCACAGCACCACAAAAAACAAAAAGCCCCAAGGGGGTAAAAATTTGCTCTAGGATGTAGGCTCTCTGTTCATCTCACAGATTGTTTCTTTTGCTGAGAAGAAACTTTTTATTTGAGTCCATCCCATTTATTGATTTTAATTGGTTTTAATTCTTGCGCTACAGGAGTCTTGTTAAGGAAGTTGGGGTCTACGTTTTCTTTATTAGGTATAGGGTCTCTGGTTTAATTCCTAGGTCCTTGATCCACTTTGAGTTGAGTTTTGTGCATGGTGAGAGATAGGAGTTTAATTTAATTTTGTTGTATATGGATTTCCAGTTTTCCCAGCACCATTTGTTGAAGAGGCTGTCTTTTCTCCAATGCATGTTTTTGGCGCCTTTGTCTAATATGAGATAACTGTAATCATGTGGGTTAGTCTCTGTGTCCTCTATTCTGTACCATTGGTCCACCAGTCTGTTTTGGTGCCAGTACAAGCAGTTTTTGTTACTATTGCTCTAAAGTATAGTTTAAGGCCTGGTATACTGATGCCACCTGCTTCACTCTTCCTGCTAAGGATTGCTTTCGCTATTCTGGGTCTCTTATTTTTCCAGATGAATTTCATGATTGATTTTTCTATTTCTATGAGGAATGCCATTGAGATTTTGATTGGAACTGCATTAAATCTGTATAGATTTTGGTAGTATGGTCATTTTGATAATATTAATTCTGCCTATCCAACAGCAAGGTAGATGTTTCCATCTCCTAAGGTCTTCTTTGATTTCTTTCTTTAGGGTTCTATAGTTTTCATTCTATAGATCTTTTACCTCTTTGATTAAGTTCATTCTCAAGTATTTTTTTTTTTTTAGGCTATTGTAAATGGGGTAGTTTTCCTCATTTCCTTCTCAGAGGATTTGTCACTGATATACAGAAATGCCTTTGATTTATGAGTGTTGATTTTAATTTTTTTAATATTTATTTTTTAGGTGTAGATGGACACAACACAATGCCTTTATTTATTTTTTTATGTGGTGCTGAGGATCAAACCTGGGTCCCGCCTGTACTAGGTGAGCGCTCTACCGCTGAGCTACAACCCCAGTCCCAAGGGTGTTGATTTTATAACCTGCTACTTTGCTGAATTCTTTTACTAGTTCTAAAAATTTTCTGGTGGAGCTTTTTGGGTCTTCTAGGTATAGAATCATATCATCAGCAAATAGTGCTAATTTAAGTTCTTTTCCTATACCCCTCATACATCAGATAGAGCACTAATCTCTAGGGTATATAAAGAACTGAAAAAGCTAAACACCAAAAAAACAAGAACCCAATGGGCCAAGAACATGAACAGACATTTCTCAGAGAGAATATTCAATCAATAAATAAATATATGAAAAAAATGTTCATCATCTCTAGCAATTAGAGAAATGCAAATCAAAACTACTCTGAGACCATCCCACTCCAGTCAGAATGGCAGCTATTATGAAGACAAACAACAATAACTGTGGGCAAGGATGTGGGGAAAAAGGCACACTCATACATTGCAGGTGGAACTGCAAATTAGTGCAGCCAATATGGAAAGCAGTATGGAGATTCCTTGGAAAACTTGGAATGGAACCACCATTTGACCCAGCTATCCCTCTCCTCGGACTATATCCAAAGGACTTAAAAACAGCATACTACAGGGACACGGCCACATCAATGTTTATAGCAGCACAGTTCACAATAGCTAAACTGTGGAGCCAACCTAGAAGCCTTTCAGTAGATGAAAGGATTAAAAAATGTGGCATATATACACAATGGAATATTACTCATCAATAAAAGAGAATAAAATCATGGCATTTGCAGGAATAAAATAAGAATAAAATCATGGATGCAGTCAGAGAAAATAATGCTAAGTGAAGTTAGCCAATCCCCAAAAAACAAATGTCGAATGTTTTCTCTGATATAAGGTGATTGACTCATAGTGGGGTATCGAGGGGAAACATGGGAGGAATAGACGAACTCTAGATAGGGCAGAGGGGTGGGAGGGGAAGGGTGCGGGCAGGGAGTTAGCAATGATGGTGGAATGTGATGGACATCATTATCCAAAGTACATGTATGAAGACATGAATTAGTGTGAACATACTTCAGATACAAACAGAGATATGAAAAACTGTGTTCTATATGTGTAATAAGAATTGTGATACATTCCTCTGTCATGTATATAAAAAATAAAAGCAATTAAAAAGGGTGGGGCTGGGATTGTGGCTCAGCAGTAGAGAGCTTGTCTAGGACGTGTGAGGCCCTGGGTTCAATCCTCAGCACCACATAAAAATAAATACACAAAATAAAGGTATTGTGTCCAACTACTTGTGAAAAATAAATATTTTTTAAAAAAAAAAGCCCCAAAGAAGTTGGAGTACTCACCTTGGGGCTGGGTAGGGTACTGGGGATTGGATCCTGGGGTACTCTACCACGGAACCACAACCGCAGCCTTTTTATTTTTTATCTTGAGACAGGGACTTGCCAGGTTGCCTAGACTGATCTCAAACTTGAGATCTTCCTGCCTTAGCCTCCCACCCTGCTGGGATTATAGGCATATACCACAACGCCTGGTGCTAACTCATTTGAAATTAACTTTATTTCTAAGTTTAAAAAAATGTTCAAAGGTTTACAAGTATGTACAAATTAGATTGTTTTTCAAGACCTTAACTGGTACTTCTGAGGTCTAGGTGTTTAGTCTAAGGATGGGTGCTGTCTGTCACCAATGAGACTAATCAGTCTTCCCCTCTCCCTGCAGAGTGCAAGACCCTCCCTGCAACAGCAGCCTACAGTCTCTCTTCTGGATTCTGTGTGCACGTCTTTTGTTACAGGTGACTATCCCTGAGCAGGGCCATGTCATCTTATCTCACAGAAAATTAAACAAAAGTTGGCATTCACAGAACAAGTGCCCATGTTCTTGTTCTTCAAAGTTAACCTGGCTAGGGCCCAGGTGCAGCTCAATGGGAGAGTGTGCCTAGCAACTGTGAGCTCGATTTCACCTAGCACTGCAAAAAAAAAAAAAAAATTGGCTAAAATCTGGAACAATTTAAGCAATAAAATAAATGAATTAAAACTCACTGAATTAAATAAAAATCTATAAGGGCATACAGATGTATTCTGAAACATGAATAAATAAGCCTACGGGCAAAGGGCGGGCTTCTAGGAGCGGGATGCTAGTGAACACCACACAGTGGCACGTGGCGAGACTGGACCAGACCTCTGATAAGAACTGGAGTTAAGGCCCCCCCGCCTCTTCCACAGACAAGCCAGTCACTATGAAGCCAAGTCACATGGTCAAGTGGGGAAATGCAGCCCACCAGGCCAGCACTGCCAAGGCCACGGGGCAGCTGTGCTAGAGGGACCTGCCCCACAACAAGGTCACACAAGCTAAAGGCAGAAGCCTGCAGATTCAAGGGAGCCAAGGGAAACCAAGGACCCAGGGGGCCAGGAGAGGCCTACAATGCCCCTGCTACCCAGTGACACAGCACAATGAGTGGGGAGGCTGGAAGCATAGTGCACAGAGACCCTGAGCACTGCCTGAAGCAAGCTCACCAAAACAAAGTGCTACAAAACGAGTGCTCTGCCTGGGCCCCCCAGGGACTGCAGAAAGTCCCACTGCCTGCCAGTGTCTGTGAAAATATAGGTATTTATTGGATTGGCAATAAATCTGCAGAACACTCTGGAGAAATCACACTTTTCAGGCTTTGACTCATCACCCAAGAAAGCGAAGTCTTCTTCCAAGCGCCACAGAAAAGCCTGTGGTTTTTTTCTTCCAGTTTTTAAAATACTTCACACTTTTCTCTCACATCCCTTTCGTTGGCTTCACTCCCGGTTCTGAACAGTTCTCCCTGCGTTTTACACAGGACATTCATACTGGGCAGATGCTGACGGGGTTCACTGCCACCCAGGGAAGGCACCATGAAGGTTAAGCCACATCTCCAGCAGGCCAGAGCTGCTCCTTCCGGGAGGCCATGTGAACGCGCCTGGCTGCTGCATCCTTGCCGTCTAGCACCTTATGCAGGATTTCCCATCTGTCAGTCAGGAAAGCAGCTCAAATGCCCCTCAGGGACACAGAAGAGACCACTCTATCCCTAGTGTCAGGGTAAAAGCTCCTCTTAAAAA